ATTAAAATTTCAAAACCCACTTCTCTAATTTTTTAAATCAAGTTCATTAAAATTCTTTCTCTCTTTCTTTTTCCTCCATTTCTCTCATATCTACTAATCATAGGGTTACAGATCTACGTATAATAATATTCCTCAGAATACGAAGTAGAAAGAGAATTTGTTTTTGTTATAAGTCGCTTCATCGAATTTGTTATATAAATCTATAATTTTATTCTTAATTTATTGCTTTGTAAATTGTTATTTTCTTGTGATGTACTCTTTTTTATTGTTATTATAAGAACCCACAAACTAATTTAGAAGCATTAATAAAAACAGTTAAAATTATTAAATTTGTCATCAAATTCAAGTAATTTTTAATATTATTTTTATTAACTACACTAATTTCTATCATCATATTAATTTTTATTCTTTAACTACTACTCCTTCCAGTTCAAAATATAAGATCAACTTTGTTGGAGGGACTTGATTTTGTTATAAGATAATATTCACTTTTTTTAAGCATTTAATGAGTTTTTTTTTTTAAATTTTACCCTCAATATATTCTCTTTTCTCTTTAATTCATTTGTTGCATCTTTTTACGTTATTTTCTTCATTAATAATGACATATTTGGAAAAAAATACATGCCTTATATATTTATTATTTTAAACTGATTTTAACTAATTTTTTAAAAAACGTAAATGCATATAATTTATCTTATATTTTAAATCGGATGGAGTATCATTAAATATAGACACACACATATATAATATTTAATGCTCAATGAAACTAGTAAAGGTATCAAAAACTTATTTTAAAAGGACTCTTATAATGAGAATCAAATAGAGTACTATATATACTAAATATGAATAAAGTTAAAAATTATTCATTAACTTTTAAAACAAAGTCACTGAGATTTAAAATTTCTTAGTTTCAATAAAACATATTAAAAATTTCTTATAAATAAGATCATACCAGTGTCAAATAAATTGACTGATGGAGGGTTGGATAAAGTGATAACAATGCAAAAACATGAAGATCTGTGAATAGAATTTAGTGTGCTTATATAATCATATGCTTTGCCGTTAAGTTCCATTCTGCTGCTATAATAAATAGGGAGAATTACAATCAAGTCCATGGAAGAAAAATAATTATCAAAAGGCCTCAATAACAACCTCAACAGCCTATAATGACAAGTCTTATAGTGAGAATGATAACCTATGGGATTTATTTTTCAATTGTTTTCTTTGTTTAGGATTTCATTGTAATTCTCCCTAATAATATCTGCATTAATTGCCCGCATCTTTTCTCATGAACTTGAAATATATTTGGGAAAAAGACAGAAAAATACTATCTTAACTTCATAATGACCAGAACATTCGCTAAATTTGTAAAATGCCATTTTGGTCACATGAGACCAAAATGGCATTATTATATCAAATGAAAAGACCAAATTGCCCTTCCTTTTAAATATTGTTTTTAAAGTATCATAGCCCCAATGGCTGGCCGGTCACCGGAGCTCCGGTGATCGGTCGACAATTGGTCACCGGAGCTATGTCGGTCGGAATTTTTTTTTTTTTGAAAATTTTTACAACTTCAGTATAACGGTTAACAACTTTTGTGACGCTATTAACAACTTCAGTATAATAGTTAACAACAGGTTTTCTAAAAAATTCAACAAGTTCCGGTGGCTAGAAATACATTTTTTGAAAAATTTTACAACTTCAATATAACAGTTAACAACTTTTGTAACGCTATTAACAACTTCAGTATAGCGATTAACAACAGGTTTTTTGGGGAAATTCAATAATTGGGCGCCGGAGCTCCGGCGGTTGGAAACAATTTTCTTGAAAATTTTTACAACTTCACTATAACGGTTAACAACTTTTGTAACGCTATTAACAACTTTGGTATAACAGTTAACAATAGGTTTTTTGGGAAATTCAACAAGCTCCGGTGTCCGGAAATAATTTTTTTGAAAATGTTTACAACTTCAGTATAACAGTTAACAACTTTTGTAATGCTATTAACAACTTTAGTATAACGGTTAACAACAGGTTTTTGGGAAAATTCAATAATTGGATGCGTGGAGTTCCGGTGGTCGGAAACAATTTTCTTGAAAATTTTTACAACTTCACTATAACGGTTAACAACTTTTGTAACGCTATTAACAACTTTGGTATAGCAGTTAACAACAAGTTTTTTGGGAAATTCAACAAGCTCCGGTGTCCGGAAATAATTTTTTTTAAAATTTTTTACAACTTCAATATAACGGTTAACAACTTTTGTAACGTTATTAACAACTTTAGTATAGCGGTTAACAACAGGTTTTTCAGAATATTCAAAAAATAACATTTTTACAACTTCAGTAATGCCGTTAACAAACTCAAAAACTTGTTGTTAACTGTTATATCAAAGTTATTAATAGATATACAAAAGTTGTTAACCATTATCCTAAAATTGTAAAAATTTAAAAAAAAAAGTAGTTGTTAAAGTTATAAAAATGCCATTTTTTTGAATTTTTAAGAAAACCATTTGTTAAATGCTATACTAAAGTTGTTGATAGAGTTACAGAACTTGTTAACGATATTATTGAAGTTGTAAGAATATTACTTTTTGAATTTTTTTAAAAACTTATTGTTAACTGCTATACTGAAATTGTTAATAACATTATAAAAATTGTTAACCGTTATACTAAAATTATAAAAATTTTCAAAAAAAAAATTGTTTCCAGTCGCCGGAGCTCTGGCGGCCAATTGTTGAATTTTTCCAAAAACTTGTTGTTAACCGTTATATTGAAATTGTTAATAGCATTATAAAAGTTGTTAATTATTATACTGAAATTGTAAAAATTTTTAAAAAAATTGTTTCCGACCGTCAAAGCTCCGACGACCAATTGTTGAATTTCTCCAAAAACCTGTTGTTAATCACTATACTAAAATTGTTAATAACATTACAAAAGTTGTTAACTATTATACTGAAGTTGTAAAACTTTTAAAAAAAATGCCGGAGCTCTGGCGACCAATTGCTAAATTTCTCGAAAAACTTGTTGTTAATCAGTATACTGAAGTTATTAATAATGTTACAAAAGTTGTTAACCATTATACTGAAATTGTAAAAATTTTCAAAAAAATTATTTCCGAATACCGAAACTTGTTGAATTTCCCAGAAAACCTGTTGTTAACTACTATACTAAAGTTGTTAATAGCGTTATAAAAGTTGTTAACCGTTATATTGAAGTTTTAAAATTTTCAAGAAAATTGTTTCCGACCACCGGAGCTTCGGCGTCCAATTATTGAATTTTCCCAAAAACCTATTGTTAACCGCTATACTGAAGTTGTAAAAATTTCCAAAAAATATATTTCCGGCTGCCGGAACTTGTTGAATTTTTCAGAAAACCTGTTGTTAAATGTTATATTGAAGTTGTTAATAGTGTCACAAAAGTTGTTAACCGTTATACTGAAGTTGTAAAAATTTTCAAAAAAAAATTTTTCTGACCGATGGAGCTTCAGTGACTAATTGTCTGCTAATCGCTGGAGCTCCAGCGATCGACCGGCCAGTGGGCTATGATACTTTAAAAACAATATTTAAAAAGAAGGGCAATTTGGTCTTTTCATTTGATATAATAATGCCAATTTGGTCTTATGTGACCAAAATGTCATTTTGCAAATTTAGCGGATGTTCTGGTCATTATGAAGTTAAAATAATATTTTTCTGTCTTTTTCCCAATATATTTTGCCTTCAGCTTTGATCAACTATCGCATCAAATCATACACACGCATGTGCATTAATATTTGTTTGTATTCATAGAGAATGGCAATCATGATTCGCTCATATAGAAGCCACAAGTTCACCAGGCAAAAAAATCAATTGATAGCATAATTAAAAAATGACTACTTTTAATAATTTTCTTAAGAATCAAAAGACAGTTTTTTTTTTCCTTGTATTCCCTCCCGTCTATAATATAAGTTACTTTAACTAATTAATCAAAATCAAAAAATGACAATTAACTCGTTAAATTTGTTTCAAATTAATTTTTTTTAATTTTACTCATATTAAATGAGATTGTAAAGAAAAAAAATATAAAAAATTACATCTAAACATTAATTATAGAGATAAAATTGCTAAATAAGTATTATTTACTCTGTAAGCGATTTATATTTTGGATCAGACTATTCTTCACTTCTTCTAGAAGCGATTTAAATTGTGAAAGGGAGGGAGTGTATGAAATCAAAGAGCGTATTGTGTTTAACATGCCAAAAAAACCGGATCCTCTCTATACCACAAAATGTGCTTCACCACACTCTAGGAGAGATGGGTGATTGGATTTGATGTTCATCTCTGCGAACATTATGTTCATTATTTTACTATATAACTATTTGATCATTCTCTCTCTCTATATATATAATGGGACTCATCAATTAAAAATAATCTCTCAACATGATTAGTTTGTAATAAAGTTGCAACCATGGTCCACCTTATCATGCTACTGGTTTCAACAGGGTCCTATTTAATATACTTGACAATTATAGTGCTCATCTACCAAATTTGCACTCGCCTTTCCACTACGCTACAACTTTAATATATAATTAGAAGTTGAGCACTTTCATATTCAATATGACAATATATATATATATATATATATATTGAACTTTTGGGATCTCCAATTCCATTATGAATTGGCTTATATAAGATTCATACAGGAACCTTAATTATCTGCGTGTATATAGCAGCAAAAGCACATGCTCTTGTGTGTGTTTGTGTGTTGCGGTTATCCATCCAAATTAATATTGAAGGAATTTAAGGGCACTAAAGACCCGATTTTTCCTATTTCTCAGATTTAACTCATTTCAAACCTAACCATGCGGACAGAAAATAACTTTAGGAAAATTATAATTTTTATTTTATAAATTCATTCAATTTTTTTTACCATTTCCCTTGTATATTCAATGCTTTTTAATTAGTCCCTATAATATAACAGTATCTTTTAGGTAAAAAAACATAGTAATTAGTTACGTCAGAGTTTTAACATGAAGAAAAACTACATACAAGGACATAACTACACATTATTTTTAATTTATAAAGACCAAAATAAAACTTAATCAAAACAATACAGATCACAAGTAAACTTTCCCTATAGCTTTACAGTTTTTTCAATAAACTGTATCACAATAAGAGGATTCAAATTCATTAGTAAGTGAACTTGTTCACGACTGAGAGAGCATTGCTAACCAAGTCTTTAGCTTTTGTGACTCTGCTTGAGATCGTCTTCTGCAGGGAAGCTCTCACGATCTTCTCTCCGAACCCGTCGGTGCAGGTCGTATAACCCGTAATGGCGGCGCTCATCCACGTCTTTATGTTACTCCACTCGAACGCCTCGTCGCCAGATTTGTCACCGCCGTTCAAGCCCTTGACGGACATGGCGGATTGCTTGACTCTGTAGAGGGAGCTATAAACGTTCTCGAGACAGTCCTTCATAACTAGGGTTTCGTTGTGAGTGAGATCCTTGACTTTGGAGAGCGATTTGAGGGCATAAGATGACTTGCTGGTTTCTTTCAGAGCAATATAAATGGAGGCTCTGGTGAGAATAAGAGGGCTTGTTTTGATCACAGAGGCATAAGGAGAGAGAAACTTGTAGCAATTTTTAGGGTATGTGGTGGAACTACAATACCCTTTAATGAAAATCTTGTAGGTATTTAGGGTTTTGGTGGAGATGGAGGAAGACGAAGAAGAAGATGATGAAGCAGCAATGGCTGTGTGTAAGGTTGACATGACTAATGAAAAGGAAAGAAGAATTGAGAAGAAAGTGCTGCGATATGAAGCCATGATTGCTTGTTTGTTTCTATATTATATTTTTGCTTTGGTTTGTTCGATGAGTGGCCCTTTATATAGGCAAATTGTGCACATGGGAGTTTGAGATTTAAAGCAATTGAATTAGGAAGGGGGGGGGGAATAGATTGGGAAAATAAAAGGGGAATTATATTTTCTTGGGGCCGAAAAGGGAATTAATTATGTTTTAATCCTTATTATGTTGCAATTTTAATTTTAATTTAATTCTAATAGTTTAAAAAAATTATAATTGAATCTTTTAGTTTGAATATGTTTTATTATTGTCGCTATCGCTTTATTTTTTATTCATATATATATATATATATATATATATCCTCTTTATCGACATAAATAATATCAAGGACACTTTCGTACTTATTGATGATTGACCTAATAATTAATACTAGTTTATTAATTTTTTTATGATTGCAAATATAACTGTCTTGTTTTAGGTCAGAAAACACCGTTGACTTCTTTTAAAATGTTCCTTTTTTGGTTAATTTAAAATATTTCTTTTGAATAACAAAACTCTAACTTTTATTTCTGAGCAAAAAAACGCCAACCTGAATAAAAGTTTCTCATATTTCTATAATTAATTAGGGCATGACTTGTATGATAACACAACCGAATTATGGTTATTATATTATAATCTATAAGTACGTAAGAAGCAGTTTGATTCCTTAATTAAATTATACATCTTCAAAATTTTATTAGAGATTCGTACAATTACTATACTTTAATTTTAATTGACAAATTTAATATTAAAGATGTACTAATAAGCTACATTATATCACTGGCCCTTTGAAGATCAATCCCCCAAAATATTAACTTAATTCGCAAGTTCCATATAATTATATTGGAATTTGCTGATTATGATGCTTCAATTCTACGTACAGCCAGCGTGAACCTCGAAATTGGTAGTGATTTGTAATTGAAATCTTTTATTTCTGATCTGTCATGTTTGAAGGCGGCAAGTGGCCTCTTTTTCATTTTGCGCATGGAGAGAGATAATGTCAGAGACCAATAAATGTTAGCCCAATTAGTAAGGATTAGTAAGGAGGTTACTCATATAATAATGCATAATATCATGAATTTAAATCCTACTATTAATATAAAGGTCTTGTGATGGGTGATTTATAAATAGCTCTATAAATGTTTTTTTATCTTGGAACCACACCTTAGTTCTGGTAAGTCTCTAGACCTAATTTCCTTTTAAAAAAAAACAGAAAATCTAAGAGGGGTGATTAATTATTGAGGTTGGATATGATGTTGCAAAAATACACTTTTATTCTTTTTATTTTATACAAGGTTTTATTTTAGTTTTTTAATTTTAAAAAATATTTCAAACTTTTAATTTTAATACAATTGATATAAATTTTTTTAACAATCATATTATTTTAAAAAATATATTTAATATGTCACTGCTAAAATTTAAAATTTCAATATTAGTATTGTTTTTGCTAACAATGCTAGAATTAAAAGATTGAAAAACACACTTTATAAAATTAAGAAATTAAAACAAAATTATATATATAGTTAAATGACTAAAAGTATACTCTTGTGCTTTAAATATTATGACTTAATTAAAAGTAGCTCTCTGACGTGTATCTGTTAGTTTCTTTTAACTCATGAAGTTCAAATTCTTAATACCCACTCCAATCCTATGGTTAAGCAACAATTCTCTATATAGGACTAGTTCTATATATAAGTAATAATTTTTATTTGTCTAAAAAATTTGATGCACTTTCTCTATTTTTACTTTGATCAATTACACGTTTTTCTAATATCTTTTTCTCCCTCATTCTTTTTCCTACTCACCATGCAAATAAATAATGATATATTTGAAAAAATTTATATTTCTTATACATTTATAGTTTTAACTAATTTTAATCTATGCGATTTGGTTAGTTGCTATTTATACGTAAGACTAGAGGGAATATTGAAAAAGACAAAATTACACTTTTAGTCATTTAACTTTATGCAATGCTGCATTTGCTTCTTTAATTTTATAAAGTAATTTTTAATTGGGAAAATCAGTGAAAAATACCCATTTGGAAATTTATTTGGGAATTGGTCCTTGCGAATTTTTTAGAAGCTGAGGTCCTTTAGTACAAATAAATTTAATAAGAAAAAAAGATCAAAATACCTTTTAATAAATTAGAAAGATGGAATATTAGTAAGAAACAATTGAGCGCGAACTTTTGCTCTCCCTTGCATCCTCCTAACCATCCATCGATTACAGTAGGTTTTGCCCAAACTCCAATCTATCGGTGAAGGTTGGAAGGTAAGTTGTTTCTATGCTCTTTCCATTTCAGTGCCAGGAGGAGATGGTTGTAGTTCTATTCATCATTGACCTAGCTTGCTTCAATGGTTTGTTGCTTTGTGCATTTGGCGACAAACTTGTAATTATGCATGTGGTTTTGTTAGCTCTTCCTGCCTCCTCCATTATCTTCCTATCATTAGATGCACTTTAATGATTGTTGCTTTATTCATTCTTGACATGATAATGCAGCTAATGAGAGTATAAATGAAAATGCCATCATCAAATATACTGTGGGATTTGGATTTTGTATCATATTGTAATAAAAACTGTCAAATTCTGAATATTTCACTCCATTGTATTATTCAATATGAGATGATTACAATATATAGGGTCTGGACGGTGATAATAATCCGGTTAGAATCATTCAGCAATAACTACAATTAATGACAGCATACAATCAGGGATATTATTCTCATGCATAATGATAGGCGGGTATCATGGGCTTTCTAACACTCCCCCTCAAGCTGGAGAGTAGATGTCAACCATCCCCAGCTTGCTTCGAAGCCCTTCAAACTTGACTCCGGCTAAAGGTTTGGTCATGATGTCAGCAATCTGATCAATCGAACGCACATAGCTTAAGCTGATGATACCACCTTCTACCTTTTCTTTGATAAAGTGCCGATCAATATCGACATGTTTTGTTCGGTCATGATACACTGGATTCTTTGTCATCTCAATACTAGCTTGGTTGTCACACCAGAGGTTTATTGGCCCTTCATAGGGAATTCTCAATTCCTTCAGGAGTCTGATCACCCACATTCCTTCACACACCCCTAGAGCTACAGCTCTTAGTTCAGCTTCAGCACTGCTTCTCGAGACTACGGTCTGTTTCTTGCTTCGCCAAGTCACAAGGTTTCCCCAAACATAGGTGCAGTAACCTGTGACAGATCTCCTGTTATCTATAGCTCTCCCATGGTCTGCATCAGTATAAACTTCTATGTTTCTTGTATTCCCCCTTTTAAAGAATATTCCCCTTCCAGGATTGAGTTTGAGGTAGGAAAGGATTCTGTACACAGCCTCCATATGTTCTTCTTGAGGTTGGTGCATGAATTGGCTTACCACCCCAACTGCATAACTAATGTCAAGTCGTGTATGGGTCAAGTAGATCAGTTTACCCACAAGTTTTCTGTATCTTTCTGAGTTAACTAGTACCCCTTCTGGTTTAACCTCCAGATTGCATGACTCTTCCATAGGTGTTCCATTCGGTTTAGCCCCAAGTATCCCTGTTTCATGGAGTAAATCAAGTGTGTATTTCTGTTGTGACACACTTATACCCTTTTTGGATCTAGCAACCTCCATTCCGAGAAAGTACCTCATTTGACCTAGGTCCTTCACTTGGAATTCCCTAGCCAGGGCTTTCTTGAGTTGAGAGATCGAAGCTTCGTCATCATCACCAGTTATGACTATATCATCCACATACACAATTAGGATCGTTACCTTTCCATCATTGTGTTTGACAAAAAGAGTGTGATCAGCTTGTCCTTGGTTGTAACCAAACCTTTTGATTGCTTTGGCAAACCTATCAAACCATGCCCGTGGAGACTGTTTCAGGCCATATAATGACTTCTTCAGTTTGCAAACTGAATTAGGTGGAGCTATTACTCCATCTGGAACTTCCATGTATACTTCCTCCTCTAAGTCTCCATTTAGGAAAGCATTCTTTACATCCAGTTGATGTAGGGACCAGTCAAGATTAGCAGCTAGGGATAAGAGTACTTGGATGGTATTGAACTTTGCCACGGGAGCAAACGTTTCTTGATAATCAATCCCATAAGTTTGAGTGTACCCTTTTGCAACTAATCTCCCTTTGTACTTGTTGATGCTTCCGTCAGGGTTGAATTTTGGTGTGAAGATCCACCTGCAACCCACTGCTTTCTTGTCCTTAGGAAGTGTGGTTATATCCCACGTGTTATTCTCCTTCAGGGCTTTCAACTCTTCATATGCTGCATGTTTCCAGTTAGGATCTTTCATGGCCTGTTGAAATGTTTCTGGAATTTTCACCTGTGAGCTATTCACCACAAAGGTTTGCATTCTAGCAGATAGATTGCCATAAGAGACAAATCGTTGTATAGGATGCTGAGTACAAGACCTTACCCCCTTTCTAAGTGCAATAGGCCATCCTAGTTCTTCAGGATCCAACTCCGGATTGGAATCATGTTGCTGCCTTGGAATGGAAGGAACCCTACTACTATGTCTTGTTCACTTGATTGAGATCTTGAGTGCTCTGTCACCCCTGCATCAATTTCAGCATTCGTTTCCATTGTGTGAGTATTGTTTGTGGGGGTTTTGGACTGTTCTGGTTGAGGTGTAGGCTTAGGGGTTTCCGGTTCAGGTTCATGGATTTCTTCGTGCGGTGTATAGAGTTCTGGAGGATTAGGAGGTGCGTTGGTCTCAGGTTCAGGGGTAATTAGCCATTCTACTCCACAATTCTCCCCCTGAATGGGTAATTTGGGATAGTATGCATCATCTTCATAGAAAACTGTGTCTTTGGAGATTATGAGTTTTCTGGTAGAGGGACAGTAACACTTATAGCCTTTGTGGGTTGAGGAATACCCAAGAAAAAGACATTTTTCGGCTCTAGCACCTAGTTTTTCCCCATCATGTTTATGGACAAAGACAACACACCCAAAGACCTTTTGTGGAATGGTATTGATGATAGGTGAGGCGGGGTAGGTTTCAAGGAGTTTTTGAATAGGGGTTTGG